TTTTCCAACATTTCATGAGTCTCTGTTTACCTAAGGCCAAACCACAGGTTCAGATATTTGTTGCCACAGAGCAATGGCTACCGGCACACCTAGACTGGGTTGGAAAGCTGGCACTGCCACAGGTCCTAGGGCAAGGACACCAAATGTTGAGTTCAAAGTGATAAAAGAATCCATTAGTCAACTTCCTTCCCTCATTCAATAAACATTATTAAGAAACTGTAATAACCCAGACATTAGTGGGGAGAGTAATAAAAAAAAAAATACAGACCTTGGTGTGATGCATGCAGTCATTAAACTGGCAGCTTCATGAAAGTAAATGCAAAGCTTGGCATATACGTAGGGACAGAATCCACAGTTTTCATCAGATTCTCCAAAGGGTCAATCCAGGGACACTACACAGCATACTTTAGACAAGCTCTTTCTCATATGAATCCCCCTTACATAAACAAGGTGACTGAGGTTTGGAGAAGTCATGCAGCATGCCAAGACATAACCAAAAAATGACACAGCAATGGGCTAAGGGGTAGCTCATGGTAGAGCTCTTGACTAACATACATAAGGCCCTTTGTTCCATCCCAGTATTGCAAAACACAAAATGGCACTGGCAGAAATTTAAACTTTGATCTGCTGGTCTCCAAAGCCTTGTTTTCCCCCTCCATGCTATGATCAAAAAGCAAAAAAAAAAAAAAAAATTTAAAGAATCAGTAAGAGAAGCCACCATGGACAAAGAGCCATAATCATGTGCTGTTGGTGACAAGGCAAATCCAAGCCTACTATTTTCTAGAGGCTGCAGGAACCAACATCTATTTTTTAGCTTCTGCCTCTGTTCACTAGAATAACAAGAAATATGAGGGTCCAAACTAAGATATGACTTTAGGGGTCTTTCCCTTCTCAAGTTAAAGCACAGGCATCTGCTCAGCCAGCCCAAACCCAAGTACTCTATCCTGCAAATCCACAAGGCAAGAGGAAGGGTAACTTTTATATGCACCCCTTGAATTTGGTGAATATGACTAGATCTCACGCTCTTAACTTGCCTCTGGGCCTAACTCCTGACCTTGTCCTCTCATAATCACACAAGTGACTTCTTTTTCTTTTTCTTTTTCTTTTTTTTTTTTTTTTTTTTTTTTTTTTTTGTTTTTTTTTTTGAGGCAGGATCTCCCTTGGTAGTTCAGGCTGGCCCTGAACTCACTATATAGCCCAGGCTAGCCTCAAACTCACAGTGATCCTCCTGCCTCAGCCTCCAGAGTGCTGGGATTAAAAACATGTGCGACCACACCTGGCTTTCAAGTGACTATTTCTATTTCATGAGTCAATTACATAAAAAGGCAATATGAAAATTATGTTTGAAACATGATAGAAACTGAAATAAAGAAACTTCCACTTATATACTGTGGCATAATGGAAAGGACATGTCATCTGGAATCAGAAACTAGTCTAAATATCTGGACTACTACCATTTAGTAGCTGTGTAACTTTCGGAAGATTTTTACCTTTCTGAGTCCTAGCTGCTCATTTGTAAAAGAGATAATGATATTTCATATCTTAAAAATCAACAAATATTTAAGAATACCTAACTATCAAGGGCTAGGGGTACAAACGTGAATCAGATAGATAAGGTTCCTTCCTTTATAAGCTTATGTTCTATGCAGAAAAAAAGTAGTCAGATACTGTAAATAACCAGTAAAATACAAAATGGATTTTAATTACACTGATTCCATTAAAATAATAATGGCTAACATTTCTTGGTCATGTATAATATGTCAGATGCTATTGTAAGAAACTCTAAGTATTTAATTTTCACAATGGGCAGACATTTTATTTCTATTTTAAACATGAGAAAACTAAAGCCCTGAAAGGTCAGATAACTCATGCAAAATCACACAGCCAGTAAGTGGCAGGCCATTGTGGGAGCCCAGATAATCTAACAGCAAACCCTCACTTTATATTACCTCCAGTGATTTAATGAAAGTAGAATCTAGTGATTCCATGAACAGAAGCTGCAGATCCTTGGCTGTTCAATGAAGCAAATGGAGCAGATGCCCCTTTGGATAAGACAAATCACAAGCAGCCAAGCCTAGGGTAAAGAACTGGAAGGAGCATTCCACACAAGAAGAATAGCCAGTACAAAGGCCAGCTTCCTCAGGGGCAGAAAGAAGGCCAGTGAGGGCTAGCAGGGGGGTTCTCAAAGATACAAAGCCAGACCATGTAGAACTTGTCAGCTAGATCAGGAGAAAGACCTCATACCTCATTCTGTGTGCAATACCAAGTCACTGAAGGGCCTTAAGCAGGCAAAAGACATAATTTGAATTGCATTTTGAAAAAATGAATCCAGCTGAATGTATTATGAGTGAGAAGAGGTTTGAAAAGTTGAGGCAGGCAAACCTGATCTCAGGCAAGAAATAAGGGTGATGTGGCCTGTAGTAGTAGTAATAGAAGTGAGGAAAGGTACCCTCTATCAGAAAGTCACCATAAGGATAGAAGAGAGTGTATAGTGTACCTAATATCACATCCACTACATAGCAGGCATTTACACATATGAGTTTCCTTCCCTGGCAAAGATTAATGAATAAGAGTTTTGAGATACAGCTATAAATCATATCCAAATGATTGAACCTCTTTGAAGCCCGAGCCGTAACTTCTGCAAAGAAGCCCATCATTTAGAGAGTAAACTGTAGTGCACCAAATTCAAAACACAATAAAGAATTGATCTATTAAAGGAGCTGGACTGTTAAATTAAAACCGATCCTGTGTGCCAAGCTGAAACACAAAGGATCAGTCTTCTTGAACAATAAAGACCAGTTAAGAGGAGACTCCAGTTACACAATCCCCTCCTCTTCACCGTAAGTCACTTGGCTGGAATTTTTTTTTTTAATACAAAAGACTAACTCTTGAGTAAATGTAATAATTGTTTTAATGATGTTGCCCCAACCACCCAAGAAGTTAAAAAAAGAAACTGGAAAATTGGGATTCTTCTATTACATGATTAGTTAATTGTTGCCTCAAGTCGGGGCTCTATTTGCAGCATGGAAGAGATGCAGCTATTTGGAGATCTAACAGCAATTGGAGAAGCAGAAAGACTGCCAAATATAAATAAAATAAGCAAGCAAATTAAAAAAAAAAAAAAAACAAAGGCTTGTCAATGAGGCCAAGTGACCGAAAGAATGTGACCCGAAATAGGTCCTTTTTTAGAGAAGGCTTTCCTTACAGATGTATGGCAAGGTCAGTCATCACATCAATAACTGATCTAGGCAGCACTTGTCCCTCATTATTTTGCTAACATGAACAAGGAAAACAGTGACAAAAACATAACCATATTGATTTAAGGCAAACATTAATTATCACCAAAGGCAAGTGTAAAAAGAAAAGCCTACCTGTGTTTCTTAAACTCAAAAATCAAGCCCCAAGAATTCAGACATTTGGCTAGGAGCAATCCTAGAATAGGAGAGAAATTTTCTCCCTGAGATTGCCTAAAATCTAGAGCAAAGAAGGAATTAGCCTTCAAGAAATACCTACTGAAACTCTTACTCTACTCTGAAATTTTAACTATGTAAATTTTCCTAATTAGTCTAGTGCAGTGGTTTGGCAAAGGATCCAGATGATCGATACTATTTTCATAATAATACCATTATTATTCCTTTTTTTTTTACAAGGTTAACATTTCTATTGAAATTTTTAAAAGAAAATAATAAAACTGCAGGAGCCTTGGCACAAATCAAGGCACAGACATCAAATTACACTAATAATATTCTTTTTAATTTTTAACTGACAAATAACTACATATACATTTATACGGTACAATGTGATATATGTATATATTGTAGAATAATTAAGACAGGCTACTTAACCTTTTTTAACCTTCTTTTAGTAGTTTTCATGTACATATATATTTTTCATTTTGTTTTGTTTGTTTTGGTTTTGGTGTTAGGGAATGACCACTACACTACTGAGCTACACCCCTGGGACCCTGAAATACACATTAACAACAGTTACCATGCTGAGCAAAAACTCGCAGAAACACAGCAGTTCCTGTATTCTTTCCCACACATTCAAGTAAAACGAGAGAAAAGAAAATGAAAGTTTGACTTTCATTGTGAAGTGTTAAGAAATATGAATCTTTTAAACATTTAACTTTATTTTTTATTAGGCTATGTGACAAAACAGGAAATACACATAAGCAATTCTAATAAATATGATAATAAAATGTTGTCATCTCAAAGCAAAGAATATTTATTATTTTAGCTGTGGCCAGTAAGCCCCTTAGAGCACCACTTTTACTTGGAAACATGTCTGGGTGATATTTTCTAATTAATCAGACTTCAATATTCAGTACATATTTTCTCAAAATTAACAAAGTGAAACTTTTATTTTGAGTGAAAAAAGACCATATTTATTTATTGCCAATGATACAATTTAAGTTTTCAAGCAAAGATCAGAAATTTGGAAAATTTGTATTTGCTACCTTGAACTTGGCAGCTCTACAGTTAAGACTTCTCTGGGAGATGCGTGGTGATATTAATGAGTGTGACTCGTGCTTTACACTGTATAACAGGGTACATCAACATTTGGAAGATTTGCATAACTCAATGATCCAATAATTTTCCAAATGACCAAAAACACGATTTTATGAACTCATGCATGGGTAGGAGATCCACTCATCATGAAAAATAAATCAGATTTTAGGGCCGGGGATTTAGCTTAGTGGCACTGTGCCTGCCTTACAAGCACAAGGTCAAAGTTAGATTCCTGCTACCAAAATAAAAAAAAGTATAAATACTAGAAAAGTAAATCAGGTTTTAATACACCACAGTCCACCTTGCAACTAACCCTTAAGAAATTCTCACTGGTCTAAAAATACTGTAGCAAGAATATAGAACTTAATACTATTCAGCCTATAAAAAGAAGAAAGTAGTATCATATTTAACAATATGGATGAATCTAGGCGATACAATGGTAAGTAAAATAAGTCAAGCACAGAACTGAGATCGCATGATCTCACTTACATGTGGAGTGCAGGGGTTAAACTCACAAAAGTACTCCAGAAGATCAGTTATCAGAAGCTAGGGGTGAGGAGGAAGGACAAAGAAAGAGAAAATGTTAGCTAAAGGGTACTAAAGATGAGTTAGGAGGAATAAGCTCTGGTGATCTATTGCACAGAATGTTGACTCTAGTTAATGTATATTTCAAAACTGTTGAAAGCATAGATTTCAAACCACAAAAAATTATTAGTATGCGAGTTACTGATATGCTAATTAGTCTCTTTAATCACCCCACAATGTATACATGTACCAAACATCACACTGTACCCCATAAGTATATAAAGTATTTGTCAATGTAAAATAATGTTTAAAACAAACTTGCCAAGTTTTAATATAGTATCAAAAAAGAATATTCACATTTAATTGTTGCAGAATCAACTAAAATATTCTTTTTCAATTAGTGTCTATGTAAGGCTTGATTTTGCTCATATACTTCAACTAAAACAATGTATTACAATGCCTGAATGCAAAAGTAGGCATGAGAATCAGCTTCTATTAAGGTAAGGAATTTTAAAAATTTGGCAAAGGAAAAACAGTGCTAATTTTTTGGTATTGGAAAACATTTCTCACAAAATAAGTTAACACAATGGATTTTTTTGCTATTCTCAACTAAACAGGTTTTTAATTCCTCTGTATAGGTTCCTAATGCACTAGTTATCAGTAGTCATAACCTCATAGAACTAAAAGGTCTTGAGGTCCTCAATGACTTTTAGGAGTATAAAATGGTCCTGAAACCAAAAAAATTGAGAACCTCTGGCCTAAAGCAAATACAGAATAGCTACCTTCTCACACAACTCCTGTAAAAACAAAAGCCAGAGAGAAGACAACTGAATTTCTATAGACTTTATTGTTTAATTTGCTTAAAGCCTATGGGCCTGCTAATTTGCATGTCTGATTTACTCACAATCCTTTCTTCCTCCTTCTCTCTGACAAGAAACCACAGACAAATTCCATGGCTATTTCACAACCCACACTTAAGCAAACTGCAATGCAGTGGTATAGACATGGAGCTCATCCAGCCTAGCAAACAGGGATAAGGAGCTCAACTCCAGGGTTTTCCTCCCTGGGTCCTTTTCAAATACTAAATCCACAAAACACAGCATTAGTTTGCTCAAAGCAAATAGTTAATTTGTCCTTTCACTAGAAATCAAAAGGACAAAATCACACAGCTAGAGTATTGCTTCAGCCCCAACACTGACCCTCCACTATCCCCTTTTTCCCTAGCAAGTGGATGTCTAAACCATGAAGAATCAACAAATCAATCAATTCATAACAAATATTTATACTGCCTATAGGAAAAAAGAAGATATATAGTCATAAAAAGAAAACTAACAATCCAGGTAATAAAATAAAATGCCTTGGCAAATAGTGCAATAAAAAGTATGGACAAAGGAGAAAAGAACTATGTGCCAAAGTGATCAAGGGTATAAATAAACAGGCAGAAGAAAGAGGAAAAAATAAAAGCAAGTAATAAGGGTTACAAAGGTAAAAAGTTAGTAATCAAAGTTAGTGATCAAACATCAGTGATTATACCTTTTGTCTAAAATTCAGTTCCAGCAAGGGGAAAATAGAAGCTAAGGATAGAATGATAGATTGTACTGTGATTATAGAAGGTACTGAAAGTTGAACTAAGTGGTCTGGATTGTATCCTGAATGTAATGAGGAGCTATAAAAGGCTTCTGAGGATGGCAGAACACAATGAGAGCATGTTTTTAAATCTGTGGTCCTGTTTTTTAAATACCAACCTATTTATAATATGATTGAGTTAAAAGAAATCAAGAGTGGCGGGTCAGAGCACCAGATAAGAAAACTACTGAAAACACCTAAGCAAGCATGAGCTAGACCCGAACAAGGAGATGGCAATGGATATGAAATAGAATCAAAAGTTACAAGGTAGTAAACAGATCTGAAATTTAACATGGTGCCAAGTCAAGGAGTAGAAGAAGTGAGGCCATACACAAAAATAAAGAAATCAATATTATTAACAGATCTACTGAAAGCCTACTCAGCTAATAACTACAGGACAGTAAATAAAAATACATGACATACTGATTTTGGAGGCAAAGATATGGGTTGTTTTTGTTGTTGTTTTGTTTTTCAATACTGTAGAATAAACCCAGGATCTTCATACTGAGATACATTCCTAGTCTTTTAATTTAAGATAGTGACTTAGTGACTGAGTCACTAAGTGGCCAAGGGCTGGACTTAACTTTGCAATCTTATTGCCTCAGCCACCCAACATGCTGGGATTATAGACCTGTACCCTCCCCCAAAAGATGTGATTTTAAACATGATGAAGGAGAAAGGTAGATGAGATGGATTAGCACTCAGTACTGTTAAAATTTCCTATTACTGCACATTCCTATACTGCATAGAATAGAAAGACAAGAGGTTCATTTCCCAGACTCTTCTGCAGCAAGGGTTTTGGATAAGGATTAGGCTCCACTGATTAAAGTACCCTGTGTGAGATTTAGAAGGCAAGAAATCATATGAAGGCCATCATCCTGGTGTTTTGACTTTTTTCTGCAGACAACACAGTCATGGGAAACACTGGGTTTTCACAACATTCCAGGATCTGGCCATTAACTTTGTAGTTATCAAATACCAGCTGTCATGGTGGTACTGTCCTGATGCCCAGTTACAGTTACAGTTGTATGTTCTTATAAATCAACAGTTCTAACAATGGCTTCCTGATTCCTATCCTGTCTTTCTGTGACAGATTTGCAGCTCACCTAGCAAGCAGATCTGTAATGTTGTTTTAGAAGCCCACCAGTAGTGGCTCAGCCTCTGGTCACCCTGCAGACTTTACAGAAATTTATTTCTCTAGCTTACATAGCTCTGTTTCCTGTAGCTAAATTGAGACATACATAACTGGGTTTAAGTAGAGACAGAACTTGCTAAGTAAAAACATTTGATACATATTTAAAAGAAAGGAACTACAACTTGGAAACAAAGACAGGCCACAACAAATAGGTACTACCTGCACACATACAGCAGTCTGAGATCCCAGACTGTATTAATCCATTCTCTAAAATCTCTACAATTCCTCTTGGAACAGAAAAAACATCCTCTTATTTATCTTAAGTGATTATGGCAATATCTTACATCTATCTAGAACTGTGAATATAAACATAAGCAAAGGTATTTTAAGGAGATCTCATTTCATTTTTACCAGACACAGGAGACCAAAAGGGTAATTATTTATAATCTGCTTTAAGATATGAGAGAATCATAGCTTCAGAGAAGGTCAACAGTTCGCTCAAGCTCGCAGAGGATAAGTGAGTGGTCCAACTAAAGCAATTCCTGCTTTAAACTTATTTTTTCCTATTTGGTCTTTTGTCAATTAATTCTGACAATGTTTGAAAGCAAACGTTAAAACTGTTGATGTAGAAATATTAGGAGCCTAAGAAGGCTTGTAAAACCACAAAGAATTAAATGGGGCCTAACTTACTACCATGGAAAAAAATTAAAATTTTCTGGGCAATTTTCTTCTCCAGTTTTACCTAAAATGTGGTGCTTGTAGCAGGCCCAATGTTCCTATCACGTACTTCCAAGCACACAATTCTGAGTAGCAAATGTCATTTAGTTATTCAGACAGCTATTCCTTTATTTTTCTATCATTCTATGAGTTGGAAAATTAATAGTGTTATATTTGCATACCTTCACTAGGCCCTTACATAAAAGCTCAAAAATGTTTATATTACATACAACTCTGGTTTGAAGACACTCAGAAGCAAGTTAATATAAACCTACTTTGAACAAATATTCAGAAAGTAACTCTGTTAGACAGAGGTTAAGCTGCGACCTTCCCAATTTTTTCCATAGAATGTACAATCCATCACGTACAAAAACACAGCAAAGATGTGAGGTGTTGGTAAGTACCCCTGTTAGAGAGAAATTCTGCTAATTATTACACCAAATAAGCATAGTTAACAGGCCATGGCCACAAGAGGGGCATGTTTCAGGACATTAAATAGCTGCATAGAGGAGAGAGGAATATATTACACTATGCCCTTTACCAATAAAACAATTTCACTGACACCTAGAAATCCAGTCAGCTGGAGCAAGATGAAAGTGTGCTGCGGTTGGCTGTGCGAAGAACAATACTTCAGTGCCACCTAGTGACGTGCATGTTTTAAAGTGCGGCACTTGGGGTGACTGTGAGGCTCTTCAACCTAAGCTTGGAAACAGGAAAAGGAAATGGGGATAGAAGAAATCACAATCTCAGGGGCTGAGGATGTACCTTGCTGGTACAGTGCATGCTTAGCATGCATAAGGCACTGGGTTCGGTCCTTAGCACCAATGAAATAAGAAATCACGTTTTGAGAGCTCTTTAAATACTTGCTTTTCAAAGCATACATACATAACATATTTTCTTTTCTTTTTCCCCATCTCAGACTTTACTATGTAAGTATATCCCAACACAAACTCCAAAATCAAATCAAAAGCCCAAAGTAAATCAGCCATTTTCCAGTAATATATTTTATTTTTTCAAGTCTTCTTACTCTTCAAACTTAAGGAGAAAGGGGCAGCACAGGGATAAGACTGAACAGAACCAAAGTTTTGTTTTGTTGTTTTGTTTTGGTTTTTTGGTACCAGGGATTGAACTCGGGTCCATGCGCTTGTGAGGCAGGCCATCAAACCACTCAGCTAAATCCCTGGCCTGGAACCAAAGTTTTTGAAGCTACAAGCCAAACATGAAAAGAAGCAAACTTTACATAAGTGCAAATCATTTAAAAAGTAGGAAAATTACCCCATCTATACAGCAAAAGATATCTGACAATGAAGAATTAAGTAACCTCAGAGGATTACTTTTCCCACAGAGAGTGTTCCCAAGTTACTGGCTTCTAAGATAGCATTGGACAGATACATTGAACACTCTGTGAAAATACAGTATATCTTCAAAATGGCATCCACACCAGGAAAATCATGTCTTCTTGTGCTAATGAACTGATGAAAAGAGATCTGGTCTACATTACTAGTAATAAACAAAGCAAAGTCATTGCCTTGTGCAACTTACA